GAAAGAAAATGCAGCCGCCTCTGGGGAGCAGGCTGGCAGCCGCAGGGAGAGAGGCACCAACACAGTGCAGGACAACGACCAAACCAGTTTTGGCCGGAGACCTGGGGGGGTGCCTGGGCGTGATACTGTCCACATCCAGACCCCCCTCCGTGCGCCAGGTCTCCTCCGAGAGGGGTCTGGGTGAGTGGCGCGTAGACAAACTCTTCTGACATTTGCGACTCTCATTGCCGCTCAGGTGGCGGGGGTAACCTGGACCTGGATGCCCCCGGCGCATCTCAGCCTGGCTCGGCCTTTGTGCGCTCCCCGCAGCGGTCTCGTGTCTGGCGCGTTGGAAGGTGTTTTAGGGCTCTGGGTCCGACCCCCTTGCTCCCGGCCGTACGATTCGTGTGGGCCAGAGCTGCAGGAGCGGGGCCCTTTCCGGGTAGAGGGCAGGGGCTCCAGAGTGCCCGTGGGGAGCCTCTGGTTTCATTCCGCCTCCTCGTGCTAGAGGTTCCCCCTCGGGCTCCGTGGTTTGACAGTTCCAGGGGGCTGGCCCGCTGGGAGAGGCGAGGCCGGGGGATGTTTGTATCCTGAGCGGTCCCTGGGTCTCAGCCCTCCCGGGTCAGGGCAGCGGTGCCCCGTGGGGCTCGGTGCTGTGATTTCTGCCGGCCCGATGCTTTGCGCAGGGCGAGGGAAATCCGCGCCGCGGTTTCGGATGCGCTAAGAACACGGGCAAATGCGCTTTGTTAGCGCCGTGCCTCTGGGCCCCACAGCTGTGCAGAGGTGCGGGACTTAGCGCTGCCGCCGTGGTTTTCACAGGAAACCCTGCGGAAAGTTGGGGGTCCCCTCCCCTGGCTCGCAGCGCCCCTGCTGCTCTGGGGGACCCGGGCCACAGGATGCGGGAGCCCACTGGGGGATTCCAAGTTGTTCCGCTTGGCCTGACCCCCGCACTGAGGTCAAGCTTCAATAGGAGCAGAATTAGTCCCCTTGGTGCAGGTCGGGGAGCCCCCCCCCCCCCCCCGCCAGCCCCAAGGCT